ATGTTCTATATAATTTCCTTAAATTTCTCAATTTTAAAATTTATCAAAGACTGAAAATTTTGTCATTGTTTTCAATTTCTATAAAAATTTCTTTAAATTCCTCAGTTTTATAGTTTTTAAATAACTTTTTATTTATAAAGCTTCATATTCAATATAGATATTATTTCATTAAGTTTCCTAAATAATTTTAAAAAATAGTATATAATTTGTTAACCATGAAGGTGATGCAAATTAAAAAATTTAAACTAAAAGCTAATAAATACTAATTGATAAACACGTCACTAATAGCATCTCTAATGATGCACAAGAATTTTTATTAAACTTTTGTAGAATTTGATAAAAAATTTGATCTAATACGATACACTTTAATTATAAATTTAAAATTTTCATTAAATCTTGTTACAAGTTTGGTTGTCCTAAGCAGACGTCCTGTCATGAGTAAAAATTTGACATTCAAATAAAGAAAGTTCGGTTGTTCGAGATGATGTTTAGGAGGATGTCTAACCCGTTGACTACTTGCAAAATTTGATGAAAGATAAAAACTTCTTTGATTTGATGAAAGCGTTATAGTTGAATTTTACAGCATTTTTATCAAATTTAAATTTAATAAAATATTTGATAAATGATTAGAGATGACCTAAGTAGCATTTGTGAATTACTCACTAATAAAATAAGAATATATTAATTATGATCATTAGGCTTTGTTTGGCAATATCATTTTTTAGTTAAAAAGTCATTAAAAAAATAAAAAAATCAATAACTTATATCAAAAAGTCAAGAATTTTATTTTTTCTCTATTTTTTATACATCTTTTCGTAAAAAATTAAAAAATTATCCCAAACATACTAGCTTTATTTATACTATATTTTAGTCAAAAAGTTATTAAAAAACCTGTTCCTAAAAGTGACACATAAAACACTCATGATTAACAAAACTTTTGTAGAATTTAGAAGGCGTTTGAGAAGATTTAAATATGTATATTTTTTGACTTTTTATAAATAAAAAAAAAGAGAGAAATGTAATGTAATCTAAAAAAAAAATTAAAAAATGTGCTAATATTGAGGACGCAAAATAGTGCCTTAGTGGTGTATAAGTTCATGTCAAATCACTTTTATTAGTTTTGTAACTGTAACTTAAATAAGATTACAAAATAGAAAAATGCTTGGGAGCACTAATTAGTGCTCCCACTAATTAGGTGGCAGTGGGTCCCGCCATGAATGATGTGATGTTTTGGTCTTGGAGTTGTAATTTTTTTTTATTTTTTTTGTTTTTTTAATGCATTAGTGCTATTAGTGGTGATGTTTTTAGTGGGATGAATCATTGTTGTTACAAAATAACCATTATTAATAACAGTCCAAAATTAGCCGTTTTTGTTAAGGATGAGCAACCTTACATATTCTTAAAAAAAAAATAAAAAAAAAATAAAAAAACTAAAATTAATAAGTTAAAGCATTATTAAAAAATTGATAATTAATAAATGTTAAAGCATTATTAAAAAATTGATAATTAATAAATAGATGAATAATATAATTACCACTACACAATTTTGAATATTTGTCAGGTTATTAAAATAAATGGATAAATTACTCCCACTTCTATTGAAGTTTAAAGATAATACAATTCGTCATACACTTTACGTATTATTACACTAATCCTTTTTTTTTTAAATAAGTTTAATGAAATCAAAATTAATATAGATGATGGATAATCTTGAAATAAATAAAAATAAATATATATTTTAGTAGAAAAAAGATAACAATATCATTTTTTTTATATTTATACGACTAATAAATTATTGATAAAAAATAGTCAAACTGTTATATGAATTAAAAATTTAAGAGATATCAGTGTAATTATGTCAAAAATATATAGGGTTAATTGTATTTTCTTCAAACCTCAAAAGATAAGTGTAATTTATCCAAAATAAATCTATGCACTTCATTAAATATTATGTCAAATATAGCACAAAATTTAAAAATATTATGTCAAATATAGCACAAAATTTATCTATAGCTAAATTTTTATCTCCATATCTTTTCACCAGGAATTCGCATATTGCATTTTAATTTGACATTTTACAAAATAAAATTGAAAAAAAATTAGTATTTCATTAGAATAAGATTGCTAAATAAAAATATTTTAACGCTATTTATTGTTAAATTATAATAATAACTATCACTTTATCTATCAATTTTTTTGTTTTGTTTTTTGGTGCTCACTCTATCTATCCATTCAACCATGGAAGAGACGGTTCTTGGTGAAAACCTCATCATGCAAAAGCCATGAGGTCAAGAGGTAGTTCACCCAAAAAAAGGAAAAAAGAGGTAGTTCACCAATAAAAAAATAAAATAATAAATTACAAATACATTCCTGAAGTTTGATTAAAATATAAATCGCCTCCTGTAATTTTGAAAATTATATTTCACCCCTTGAGGTTAAGTCAATTAACAGTTTTTAATGATATTATAAATACCTTTCAATTAATAGTTTAGATAACTTTATTATTGTATAAGAGAATAATTATAAATTTTTTTAACAAGGGGTATTTGTAATTTTTCCAACTTAAAGGGACAATTTGTATTTTAAGTAAATATCAAGAGGTGTATTAGTAATTTACCAAAAACATAAAAAAATGATAAATTACGAATCCTTCCTAAAATTTGGAAATATATATATTTAATTTTTATATAATTACGTTAATCTTTCCTTTAATAAAATTAAATGAATCGAAACTAATACAAATAGTATCAAAAGAAAAAAATAAACAACATAAAATATACATTTTCTTATAAAAGTAATGATAATATTATTTTTTATTCATGTAATTGATAAAAATGCAATTAAATGTTATATGAATTAAAATCTTTAAAAAATTTAATATAATTATGTCAAGAATTATAAAATTTACTCAACTCCCTCAATTTCAAAATATTAGTTCATTTTAGGAAATGTAATTTTTTTTTTGGAGTACAATTATTATATTTCAAAAATATTATAAATTTTTCAAAATTATCTTTTGATAGTACAATTATTACAAGCCAAATATTGTTAATAAATTTAAAAGAATGCAAAATAGAAAATTTATATTATTATAGTTATTGATTTTTAATAATGGACTAATATTTTAAAATAATGAAAAATGAAATAAGGGACTAATATTTTTGGATAGGGAGAGTGTTTTTTTAAAAAAGAATTGGACTGTTTCTAATCCGTAATTAGACAATCCAGTCAAGTCTGGCCCAATGGGTCCACTTTTGGATCCCCGTTTCAATAATTCGAATAGTTCACATTTTAGGATTCATTGGGTACATTATTCTTTCAAAAAATCAAGTCGGTTGGATAACAAAAATCACGTATTCGAATCAGTTTTGTATGAATTGTTTATTTTATTACCGTTTATTTATTTTTTCATATAAAACTAATCCAAATACAAAATTGTTGTTATCCATTCAACTTAATTTTTTGTATGTATAATGTGAATGGTTCAAATTAACGAAACAAAATCAAAAGATAGATCTACAAGGCCCAACAACACCTCTCCAGTTCGATGCAAGACTAAAGAAACCATGACCTTTGTTAGTTTAGTACATTATTTTATTTAAGTCACAATTATTTTATTTATATTATATCATTTTTTATTTAATTCATATCATCTCACTATCATATTATTTCAACTTCAATTTATATTTCATAAAATTTTATAAAAAATTAAAAAATATACTAATTTATCACCTCAATAATGCTTGAGGCCACTAAAAATGGTGCTCTAAAAGTACCACCAGTAATATGATAATTGACAAAACCTAATACTTGTGTCTTATTTTTTTTTTTAAATATTTACCAATTCATTAATGGTGCTTTAGAACGTCGCTTTTAGTGAGACGTATCAATACCCTTTATCACCTCCTGAACGATCCTATTGCCGAACAAGGGGAAAAAAAGGAGCGTGAGGTCAACCTCACCATCGAAGAGATAGACTCGCTCAAACGGCTTGCCACGTGTCACTCGTTCTCGAGGCGGTTCTTCAATCCTCTGATTCTAGGGTTTATATTTGTCCAGCACCCTACCCCCCTTCTCTCTCTTTCTCTCTCCATAGCCGACTCACTGCTCAGCTCTTTCAACTCAGTCTCTTTCTCTCCTCTACTCGCGCTTCCATCGATCAGGTAATCAGATGTGCATATACATACATGTATACACATATACACACTTATTTCTTTTTTCCCTCCATCTCAGCTCGGTTGAATTCGCACAGTTCGATAAATCGCAAATTAGGGTTTTTTTTTTGGGGTGTGTGTGCTGTGATGCTTCGATTTGCGCAAAAAAGATTTGTTTTTTTCATTATTATTCTGCAATTCTATCGATTTTATATGAATATTGATCAATCGTGCGATAAATTTATATAATTTATGATTTTTTTCGAGGAGTTGTTCATAATTATTGTGTTGGAAGGTTAAAAGTTTGAGATTTTATGCATGCATGTTTGAAGTAATTAGGGATCGAATTAAGTAACGTGCGGTGCGGTTGAGATTTGAAGCTTTTTTTTTTTGAAAATTTTTATTACCCCAAATCTGATTTTGTGGTATTAGATATGGGCATGTGTGATTGTTGCTCACTTCATAGATTTTAGGCCTTTGTTTCATAGATTTTGTACAGGTTGGATTGGACAAACCTTTTTCCAATTAGGTTGGTTTTGGTAAATTAATTGTTGTTGCAAGTGATTTGAGCTTGTGATATTTGTGATTGCTGGTATAGTTAATAATTTTTCCTGGTTTTTGTTGTCAGTTAAATGGGATTTATTTACTTTGTAAAGGATTTCTGAGTGTGTATTGAGGTGTTGTTTTCTGGAGGTTTTAAAGTTGGGGGAGGGGGTGAATGGGTTTCAATGAAGTCATAAGATTGTTTTCTCGTATGCACTCATGCTTTCTCTTTCTCACATCATTACATGTTTTTCTTTTGTGATGTTTGTACTCTGATGAAAGTTGTCGTCATTAATATGTCAGGGTTTCCATCTGATACATGTAGATTGGAACAAAAGTGGTGTTTGAGCATTGTCGACTGGATAATTGGCGAGCTAATTTTCCTAGAGATGGTTGTCTACCTATGGATTTACTGAAATGTAAGTCTTTGTTTTTCTCTGTTAACTAATAGAAACATAGAAATGAGAGTGGGGGATTTTTTTTGTCCAATTGTGACTCTACTTTAATCTGTTTGTATGCTTCATGTTTGACAACTTAAAACCAGGGTCACATTTTAAAAGGAGGAAAAGTAGAACTATAGTATAAATGATTCTCACTTAAAAAATTTACAGTTACACATTTCTTTTTTTGCTCTTCCTGACAACCCATCGTAAACAGGTGTGGTTGTTTTTAAGAACCAAGTTGAAGTTGGTTGTAATTCTTTGATATTGCTATTGCATGGATAACGTTTACTGATGCTGAAATAAGCCAGGGAAAAAAAAAGATGCAAGAGAAAAAAGGAGTAGAACAAGAATAGTGTTTTTCCATATCAAACACATGAAGGAACACTGGTAGGTCAATGAGGACTTGGTGGCATTGCATTAGGTTAGAAAGCTCTATAGTAATGCGGTTCCACTATTGGTTCTGTGAATGTGTTGATTTAGAGTGTTGATATGATTGATTACTATTCTTGGTGCTATTGATGTAGTTAAGACTCCTTTTGTCTTATGCACCTTACACTTTAAACACAACACTTGTTTTTTCAATAAGAAATAGTGCACCTAAAAAGCACTGACTAAAAAGTAGTTGTGTATGTGTCGAACACATGCTAAGGAGCGCCCAACACATATTCAAACGTGTACAATTATTATTACTTTTGGACTTGGACATGCTTCAAACACTAGGGGACACGTGTTATGTGAAACACATTACGAGTGTGAAATATTAACTTGAGATCTCCTGATAAAAGGAATAAAAAATGGAGATTTATATTTATTAATCCCTCCTCCTTTAAACCTTAGCAATTAGTATTATGTTGCATTATTTTATACTTTTAAATGAAATATTCATATAGTATATGATATAATAAATATTTAAAACTACATGAGGCATCTCATTGATGCACCATGTCTCTTCAGTCACCTGAAATGATTGAGAAGAAAAGTGGAGGATATTGAAAGTGCTCTTGCCACGTGAATCTAATATATTTTTTGAACCATTATGACAAAGGACAAGTGATGTAGTCTAGTTGGAAGTTCCAATAACTACAATCAAAGGTAGATCTGAACAACATTGGATGAAGATCGAGCTATGCAAAAAATCAGATTTTAAAACAAATTTATGCAAAAACCGGCAAGGCAGGCTTGAATTCTACGAGTTATGAGGCTCAATACCAAGCTGTAAGAAGCAGCGAAGAAGACTACAACATGATATCAAAATTTGAAATTTTAATTTCTCTGAAACCTCATTCAAAGAGTGACAGTCCTATATATAATTAGCTAAGGAGGTTACTTTCTAATCAAGTGTATTGGAATAGAAAAACTAAAAGTAACAAAAGGTAGCGAGTGGCAGGTATGAAACCATTCCATAACAACTTATTGACACATGGCCATTCAATGACAAGAAAGTAGGACATGGTTTTACATGCAACAACCTAAGTGGCATGTCCTGCATGCGGCCATTACCAATAAGTAGGTGAAAAGCTTCTTACATACAACCATCTCATCGACAAGTTGCTTATAAGAGTGCACCTCCGAAAGAAATAACAAAATAACTTCTTATGTTCATGACATCAAGAAGTTTCAAACTAAATAACTAATTTTTGTAATATGTTTTATGTGTGATTTGGTTAAGAAATTTGTGGGGTAGGGTGGCAGTGGGGAATATCATCCTGTGGTTTTTAGTTGAGAACAGAATGGAATTGGCTTACTGTAGGAACTCTGCAGTTGCTGGATTTGCAGAGAGAAGTAGCTAGAATTCACTAGGAAGTAGCTAATTTCATGAAAGTTTGACCTAATTTTATTTATCATATCCATTCTTAGGACACACCATTTAAAGAAAGCATAGAGTTTAGTGCTTCTTCTACTGCGAATTATGGTGATAATTGTGGTTTGTTTAGATATTTTTACACCATAATGGCACACATATTTGTTTAGAAACCCGTTGCATAGGCACATTAGATGTTTTTCCATCTATACATTTATTTTTGTTATCATTGTTATGTAATGATATTTTCTTTGATGTGCTCAACAATTTTAAGGGTGCTGTGTACAGAGGTGCTTTGTTTCCTCACAATAAAAAAAGGGGTGCTAAGTTGTGCAAGTCTACTTTTGATTGGCAATCATCACCCAAACTGTGAATAGTTTCAAAGGGGGGTGGGGTTTGTCAACTTCTGCAACTTGCAACTTGCATTCATGTGAGCAAAACTTATTTAAAAAAATCATGAGGGCGAATGGCATTTGATTTTTTTCATTTGTATTCTTGAAAAAATACTGCACAGCTTTTTTCTCCTGTTCTTGAATATTTCAAGCCTGTCCATAATGGCTTGGATTTCTCAACAAGCATGTAATGGTGGTTTTATTGGTATTCAAACTTACTTGGTAACTTGTCTGGATTAATTCAGTCCTTACTTCGTAACTTGTCTGGATTAATTCAGTCTGTCAACTATCATTTGCAACATTTGGTTTAAAAAAGTTTTGCAATTACAAAGATTTTGCATCCATCATTCAACACATTCTGAATTTGTACAGAACTTGCAACATTGAAGTTCTATAATTGCTTACGGGGTTTCGGGACCATTTCTTGCACATTACGGTTCGAACACAAGGGAGTTTTGTTACTAAGATATCATCTGGAGTCCCATAAATTTCAAGAAAGCTACATATGTTTAATCAACTTAGGTCCAAACTGTTGGAAGCTTGGACTTTTTTGTAAAGAAAATCCTATTATATTTAACTGGAGGGAAACTTGAAACATTTATAAAACATGTGCGGCTTATTTAGCTTAGTGTAACTGAGATTAGCGATCCTTTGCATTTGGCATTGGGAGCTTGTGGGGAAGCAGAAGACAAGAACATTAAAGGTGGTTAAGTAATTTAGGAAAGTGCCAAAAGAAGTCATTTTAACAAATTGACATTGTCCCATACAGTTCATTCCTCCACTGCATATCTAGCTGTCTTCTACTTGATTGTTTCTCTCAGTCTAGAACTGTTGTTGTATGTGTGCAATGTTATATAGCATTGCCTGCATTTTACTCTCTCTCTCTCTCTCTCTCTCTCACACACACACACACACTATCACGTGCATAGACATGTATGTGCTTGTGGGCACGTGCTGTCATTGTCTGTGCACTTTTTTGACTCTTTGTGTGTATATAACTACTTCATAAATTTTCCCTGTACTACCTCTTTATCTTGCTTCTCTATGTATAAGTAAGCAGGTGTTTGAAGCCTATGTGTTTGGTGGTTTTTTGTTGGGACTTGTCATAGATCAGCATTATATTTTGAATGTGATCTACCATTATGTCTTTTTGACAATATACCAAGAAAAAGTTATGCATTAATGGAATTGAATGTGCTTAAGAAACAAAACGTGTGGAATCCTGTGTGTTCTATTTCTAGGTTTTGACACGCAGAATATAAATTTACTCTAGCATTCTTCCAACCATGAATGATCTATTTTGCTTGGAGACCTGGAAAAACACATACACACATTGTTAACTATGATAATGGTGTATTGTTGTGTGCCTAAAGCTTCTAACATATGGGGACTGATATCAACTAAGGTGCTGTTTGTGTTCAATTTAGTTGTATTGTTTTTCTGCCTCCAGTAGTTAGTTATTCATTTATGCAAGTTCTCTAAAACTCATTGATGTGAATTGATTTTCTCTCTCTTCCAGCATATATATATATATATATGTTGGTTTGATTGTTCTAGTAAGTGGAATTTTATATGTAGATCTGTTTGTTATTTATTTATTTATTTTATTTGTATTGGAACTGTTTTTGTCTCATCAATTGTAACTCAAGAAAGAGGATGCTTATAATGCTTATGTTTTTTTAAAATGCAGATTCTGTAAATCTCTTTTTTTGATCACCTGGATGCATAGCCTAATTCATGGTATGTACTAGGTAAATATTTGAGTTTCAGAGCTGTGTTACAGTCGTACGTGCATATGTTTTACAGTGCTGTTGTAGCATGTCCAACAATCTTGTGTCACAGCCATTATCAATACCAAACAAGCAGATGGATCCTATTTCGGACAATCTAGAGGTATCGATTCCAAATATGCGAATGGGAATGATGGATGGCATGTCTAACAGTCCTGCACCACGGCAGTTTGAAATATCAAACAAGAAAATGGGTTTGGTGGAACCTATGACCAATAATTTTGGTTTACATAACTCACCAGTGTTGAACAGGCAAACAGGGCAGATGGAAATGCAGGTCAGCAATCTTGGATTACAACAATTCTTAATGCCAAATCATCAAATCGGAGATATGGATGCTATGTTGAACAACATAGGTTCACAAAAGATACTGTTACCGAGTAAGCGAAAGGCTGTGGGAGAACCCAAGTTCGGTAATTCTGTGGGACAACATTTGTTGACGCCAAACAGGAACGTGGCACAAATGGAACCATTTACCAACCCTGGGTTGCAGCAACTATCATCACCAAATAAAAGAACTACACAGGTGCATTCCAAGTCTGGTGTTCCATCTTCACAAAATTTACCTCCACCAAATAAGAAAGTGGTACGGAATGAATCCATGTCTGGTAGATCTGGCACTAAGCAATTGCTGACTCCAAAGAATCGTACTACACAAATGGAACCATCACCAAAGGGTCAGGCTGAGTCATGTGAATCTGTGAGGTCAAAGATGAGGGAATCATTAGCTTCTGCCTTGGCCCTGGTTACTCAGCGGCAAGATAAAGCTTCAAATGAAGAAAGTAATTCTGAGAAACAGGTTTCTCAGCGAGTTGAATCCACTTCTGCGCCGGCTGATGCTGCTGACCATGTATCTGAAAACCCTACAGACAGTTTACCATCGAAAGAATCTCGTTCTGTAGATATAGCCAACAATGTCCAAAGCATATCTCAGGGAAGTTTTACTAATGAAAACATGGGAGGTTCTGCTCAAACCTGGAAAGGTGATGGACAAGAAGTCCAATATAATACTGGCTTTCCAAATGAAGATGTTTCATTTAGTGACAGTTTCTTTGTCAAAGATGAACTTTTGCAGGGAAATGGGCTCACTTGGGCATTGGAACTCGATGTAGACGTTGGAGAAACAAAGGAAATACAAATTGCCAAAAAACCTAAGTTGGTAAATGAGGATGTGGGGGGTGGGGAAGAAAGAGATCAAGCATTTCAATCTCCTCAAAGTTTGGCTTTTAAAATTGAAGTAGAACTCTTCAAATTGTTTGGAGGGGTCAATAAGAAGTACAAAGAGAAGGGAAGATCTCTTATGTTTAATTTAAAAGATCGTAGTAATCCTGAACTACGAGAAAGAGTAATGTCTGGTGAAATCCCCCCTGATCGTTTGTGTTCAATGACAGCTGAGGAACTTGCTTCAAAGGAGCTTTCTGAGTGGCGAATTGCAAAAGCAGAAGAGCTCGCTCAAATGGTAGTTTTGCCTGATTCAGATGTTGACATGAGACGTTTGGTGAGGAAAACACACAAGGGTGAGTTTCAAGTAGAATTCGAACAAGATGATGGTGTTTCAGTTGAGGTTTCTGTTGGAGCAAGTTCGCTTCTCAGAGTTCAATCAAAAGACGAGGATACTGAAGCTCATCCCTCTGCCAAAGCTGATGACATCAAAGATAAAGAGAATGTTGTAGGTGAGAAGAGTAGCTCAGAAAACCAGGATCTTTCGTGTAGCCTTACGATTCCAAATGATGGGACTGATTTAATGCAAAATCTAATGGTGGATGAATTGAAGGATGCAGAATTCCTTCCTCCTATTGTGTCCCTTGATGAGTTTATGGAATCTCTTGATTCTGAACCTCCATTTGAAAATTTACCCATGGTTGGTGGGAAGACGATATCACCCTCTGTCAAGGAAACCACAGAGGGTGGCTTTGAAGTGACACCCTCTGGTCTAGCTTCCAAAGTACCTGTGGACGCAACCTCAGAAAAGTCTGATAAAGTGGATGTGAAATACAAAGATTCTGATGTGAAGACAAAATCCAAGGAGAATCCTATAGCACCAAAACCATCTCCTGGTGCTGCGTCCAAGGGTGACCGTGTATGGGAAGGCATACTTCAGCTGAATGTGTCAGCTGTGGTAACAGTAGTAGGCTTTTTTAAAAGGTATGTCTTTTCGGTTGATGTCGTGATCATTGCAAGCTGTTTACTGCTTCAGTTCCTTTCACCTAATTATGTATCTCTAATTACTGTTCTTTTGTATCTTCAGTTTTGTTTTGTGGTAGAATATCTTCGTTTGAGTAATTATTGCATCAGCTGCATGTGTGCATAATCCCTGTTGCTGTCTTAAAAATGGGGGTCATTGCATTTCCAATAGGTCTTGAAATTATCTTGTGCCTGTTGCGTGGTCCATCTGCTTTCTAATACGTATCATGTTATCTATGCATATGTTTGCATAATAGCCAATTCTCTTATTCTTTTGTTGCTTGTTGGTTGTCCAACTAATTTTATTGTCCTAATCTGGCTCTAAATGTCATAGATGATGATGTGAAGTTTGGGTAGTTTTCAGTGTTAGTTATAAAGTAACGTCAGTTTGTTTTTGTATAAAATGAAATTGTAGAAGTTGACTTGAAAACATTGTGGGTATGTTTAGTTTGGTTTTGGGAGAGTAGTTTTTAAAAATTGTTTTGGGGAGAGAGTTTAGAATTTTTTTTGATTTGTTTGGTTGTGTATTTTGAAAGTAGTTTTGGAGTTTAGAAGTTTGGAATGATTTGATATTTTGTTATAATTGAGTAAATGTGTGCGAGAGAAAAAGTGATTGAGAAGGAGAGAGGAGAGAGACAAAGTGATTGATTGATAGGTAAGAGAGAAAGTAATTTTGGAAATTGTTTTGAAAATTTTACAAACCAAACAATTTTTTTTAAAAAAATTTCCCAAAATCACTCTACAAATTCTAACCAAACATGGCCTGTGTATTTAGAACTTTGAAGACTGGGAAGTCTTTCCTTGTTTTGTTGTGGTTTGTAACTTACTGCTTTGAAGAAAATTTAGTGCACTTCTACTTGAGTTAAAATTTTCTGTGCCTTCCATGCATGAAATAACATGAATGTATTTACAATTAAGGTTAGTTGTTTAAGATTTGAAATAACTATTAATTTACAACCCCGCCTTCTATGAAGTTGTTCCCAGTTGGTCTGCTGCCCTTGATCTGAGGGTTTTAGTTTCCCTTGTAGTCTTGTGAGCAAAAAAGATAACAAAATACACCGATTCAGTTTCCATTGTTTTTCTTTTTCTGTATGCTTGTCGATTTCTCACTTACCCGCTCATCTTCTTACAGTGGTGAAAAAACATCGACAAAAGAGTGGCCCAACTCTCTTGAGATCAAGGGGCGAGTCAGATTAGATGCGTTTGAAAAATTCCTTCAAGAGCTTCCCATGTCTCGTAGCCGTGCAGTCATGGTATCTCTACTCCCATTTTTTGTATTTAATTTTTATCCGCTGTTTTGCTGCTGTTCAGCTGGTAACCTACAGCAGAGTAGTGCTTTCTCAGCTGTGGTAGTGACATTTGTTTTAGTTATAGTTATTGGTGTGAAACGAAAGGATATATGTAAGCAAATTCTCTCTCTTAATATATCGTTCATGCGTAAAAAGGCATTTCCAGAGTTCTCCGTCTCTCCCCCTTGCTGTGTGTGGGGCATGTGCACATGTGCTGTGCGAACGAAACACTTTCTTTTGTCTACTAGTAGTATCGAATTAAGCTGTGTTGCTGGTAATTATTTTTCACATCTAGTAAAAAGAAAGGATTAGTTGGTTGCATGCTGTGATGCTGTGTGGCCAGGATGTGAATATATTGTCAATACCCAATGCTGAAATTTTGACTCAAGGTTTAAAGGGCACAATATGGCAATTTAAAAAATAAGGAAATAATTTATTGTTGTTGGTTGGTTTTGATTTGGAAAAGAAAACATGATTGAACATAGATTTGTGATTGGTTGGTTGGTTTTGATGTGAAAAAGGAATACATGATTGAACATTGATTTGTGATTTGTTGGTTTTGATGTGGAAAAGGAAAACACGATTGAACATAGATTTGTGATTAGAAATAATTTATTGTTGGTTGGCTGGTTTTGATGAGGAAAAGGAAAACAAAATTGAACATAGATTTGTGATGTGTCATGTCCAGAAATTTAGCTTTTCCAGAACATTTCAAAACTCAAGCAGATTGTATTTTGGATCAGCTAGTTTGTGAAAATCCATGTTTGGACATCATGAAATATGCAGTTTTCTTCTTCAAAATGATAAAGCACATTTTTCAATTTTAGAAAACAAAAAAAGAAAGCAGAAAAAGGCATCTGGGTGTCATCAGAAAATTAAAACGAATAAATAAAGTGAAGAAACAGAAAATTGTTACGAGAATAGATATCCAATTATAACTGATTATCTCATACATAATGATAATGATAGTGAAGTTCATCAAAGTATGTAAATTTTAAATTTTTTTCATGTAATATTCTCTCTGTGCAGGTTGTCCATTTTGTTTTGAAGGAGGGATCCTCGGAAAATGACCATGCAAGTCTTGACGAGGTTACTTCCATATTCTTTTCTCATGTTTTCCCACATCAGCCTCCCTTTTATCTAATATTTTCTCAGTTTCTTGTTTAACCGAATTTTGCCCATCAATCTGCAGGTGGTTCATTCGTACGTTTCTGATGAGAGGTTGGGGTTTGCAGCACCAGCCACTGGAGTGGAACTTTATATCTGCCCTCCAAGAATAGTTGAAATACTGAGCAAACACCTATCCAAAGACCATACTGAGATTCTTAATTCAATAGACAATGGGCTAATTGGTATCGTTGTATGGAGAAGACCTCATTTCAGTTCTTCTGTAATATCACCCAACTCATCATCGTCCTCACACCACAAACACAACTCCAAAAAACAACACTCCAATATCACATCTAGGAAGCATCAAGAAAAAGATACCTATATGAATCTGAATTTTGTATCTAAACCGACTCATCCCATGGGCCCAACTGGACCTCATCATCCTCCGATAAATCATGATGATGATGATGATGATGATATTCCGCCTGGGTTTGGTCCCGCCACTTCCCGGGATGAAGATGACTTGCCCGAATTTAATTTCTCAAAACCGTCTGTACCTTCTAACCAAACTCGATCTGGGGTGTCGGGAACAAACCCTTCTCATCCGAGTTCTCATGCTCCGCCCTTACCTGTAGACCAAATGAGAGAGCTTATTCAGAAATACGGGCAAACTGGGAATAGTGCCGGTTTGAGGACTGTTAGGAAGGGGATTCAACCATGGAATGATGACGATGATGATGATATTCCAGAGTGGCAGCCTCAGGCACCACCACCCCAACAGCAGCCCCACCACCAACCACCCATGCATAACTTTCAGCAGCCAATGCTGCCACATCATCAAGTGAATAAACACCCAGGACTTGCATTGCCTCAACAGCCCCCACGGCTGGAAATTGCACCACCCAGTGGTGCTATGCCTTTGCAACCATCGGGTAATATGGTTCAGGGCTTGCATAATGTAGCCCCACCTTGGCCACCCGGAGCTAGGTGGGTGCAGCCTCCTGGCCACTATGGTGTGCCGCCTGGGCTGCGGCCTGGGCAGGCTGGTATGGAGTGGAGACAGGAGGGTGCCCCACGGAGTAGGGGTTTTTGATTTGGTCCCTATCATGTATAAAGTTTTTCTTTTTTTAGTTTTTTTTGTAAAAACTTTGGTAAGATATGTGCAGTAATGTAACCATAAAAATGTTCTAAGCATGTATCTCTTTTTTTTTAAGTTGTTGAAGCAAATCTCGTAGATGAACATGGTACCTTTTAATTCGTCTCTGCAATGTTTATTTTCCAATCTATAGGCTAATGCATGTTATTACAATAATGCAACAACAATGACTAATATACCATAAATTATTTATGATCTTACTTATGTAAATATTTTATGATATAAAAAGTTTATTAATATTAATTTTAGGGACAATGAACCAATCACATAAAATATAATTGGACCAAAGTGCACAGAACAATTTCTTTAATTGTGAATTTCACCATCTTGTGTGTAATAATTATTTTATGTGATTGGCTGTGTAGTCAATTCCGTGTTTTGGACTATTATTTATCCATGACGAGTTAAGACCTTTGAGAATGAGTGATCTATAATTTATGCCTTACTTGGAATGTGAAGTCGTCTTAGGGTAGAGGTTATGAATCAATAGAATAAAGACTAAGGAATACCCTTTTGCTTTTTTTTCTTTCTTTTTTTTGGGGCAAAAAAAGAAGAAGACGTTCTGACGTGTCATCACGGCATTTGTGGGCCCAAACCCCAGGGTAATCGGTTACCAGTTTGATTTAACTCAACTCAAAGAAAGTGACTCACTACCGAGGCACCAGTGGAGATTAACCATACATCATAGACAAGCTCAGGATACGATAGGAGTACAAAGTGAGGTTTCTGCAGAGAATCATTGAAATTATTCAATATTTCGCTCCCTCAAGAGATGGAGATTAATCATACATCACAGACAAGCTCAGGATTCGATAGGAGTACAAAGTGAGGTTTCTGCAGAGAACCATTGAAATTATCCAATATTTCGCTCCCTCCAGAGTCGAACCTGAGTCGCCTGTGGAGAAGGTATACTTTTTTGCTTCTCTTTTTAAGACCTGTTCTATGGCTAGGCACTTTCATATTTTTTTTGCTTTATCGAAAACTCATTTTTCGTCCTACTCCACGTGGGGTTGAGAGGCCAACCTTAAGCTTATGAACAGAACAAACACGGGTTCAGAGGCTACCCCTGAGCCAATGAACCCGACCAAACAAACAGGAGGAGAGTAGAACTATAAACCTTCTGAATAGAGTCTTTAGACTAACCATCAAAGCTATCTCTCAAAGGTCCTCTTCGACGCAGCGATGAACTGAATTGTGTTTTTCTTGATAGATGGATGGATGATAATAAGCAACTAAAAGGCATCATTGAGATGCTATTTTGATTTTGATTTTGATTGTAAACTGTGTTTATTCATCAATAACAAATTGCAAATTGTTCATCAAATTGATTGTTTGATGAAAATGAGCACTCTTTTAACTGAAAATACTCATTTGAAATATGATGTTTTTTTTTTGTTAGTGTTGTCTTGGCTTATGTTATGTTTGTGTCTTTCGTTGCTCACCTTGTTTTTGCTAGCGTTGTTTCTATTGTTAGGTTTGTTTGAAATCATTCACTTTCGTATTTTCTTCTTTCTTGAAATGAAATATGATGTTTTTCATGCAAAAAATAAAAATAAATAAATAAACTAAAAATACTAGAAAATAAATTCTGTAGAAATAATAACAATATAAGAGAGAGAGAGAGAGAGAGAGAGAGAGAGAGAGAGAGAGAGAGAGAGATTGGGCTATCATGAAATTCTGAAGTAACATTTTTTCTTTCTTTCTTTACAATAGGAAACAAAACGCATCAAGAAATGTTATTGAGACCAATATACAGATATACATTTATATCAAAAGCACAACACATGTAACTGCACAACAACAACAACAAAAATACATAACACAAACAAATTCGAGCCCCAACTCCCAAAAAAAAAAATAGATAAATAAAGTAATTGTGGTGGAATTTCTACATGCTTTGTTGACAGTAGGTAAAACACAGAGGAATTTGAGCCCCTCTCATCTTCTCAACCAACAAGGCATGCCAAGCGCATCATTGTGATCTAAAAATGATGTACTCTAATCAACAAAAATACCGACGATGATGAAGCTAAAAAGCCCATACATATGAACTACTAGCCACCTAGAACTCTCCTGAGCCCTGATCGTTGCTCTGGTGTCAATTTTGTTGGAAACTTCACTTCAAACTTGATCCTCAAATCACCTCTATTACCACGCTCCTTGGTGATTGGCATTCCCTCCCGGGCAACCACCATCTCATAAGCGGGGCTCACAAGGTCAGTTACTGGGATCAACAAGTTACGTCCATCAAGTGTAGTGAGACTCACTGTGGTCCCGCCCAGAGCCTCTAAATTCTGAAGTAACATTTTTTTCTTTCTTTCTTTACAATAGGAAACAAAACACATCAAGAAATGTTATTGAGACCAATATACAGATATACATTTATATCAAAAGCACAACACATGAAACTGCACAACAACAACAACAAAAATACATCAACACAAACAAATTCGAGCCCCAACTCCCAAAAAAAAAAAGATAAATAAGGTAATTGTGGTGGAATTTCTACATGCTTTGTTGACAGTAGGTAAAACACAAAGGAATTTGAGCCCCTCTCATCTTCTCAACCAACAAGGCATGCCAAGCGCATCATTGTGATCTTAAAATGATGTACTCTAATCAACAAAAATACCGACGATGATGAAGCTAAAAAGCCCATACATATGAACTACTAGCCACCTAGAACTCTCCTGAGCCCTGATCGTTGCTCTGGTGTCAATTTTGTTGGAAACTTCACTTCAAACTTGATCCTCAAATCACCTCTATTACCACGCTCCTTGGTGATTGGCATTCCCTCCCGGGCAACCACCATCTCATAACCGGGGCTCACAAGGTCAGTTACTGGGATCGACAAGTTACGTCCATCAAGTGTAGCGAGACTCACTGTGGTCCGGCCCAGAGCCTCTGCCAATGTCACCCTATGGTTCATGATGAGGTCATTGCTGTCTCGTGTGAAAATGCTGTGGGGCTTCTCATCAATCACGAATACGAGGTCTGCTGGCAGCTGGTTTAGCTGCTCATTCCCTTTGTCTGGGAAAGTGATCTTCGTTCCTTTCTTCCACCCTGGCTTCACTTCAATTGTTAAGATCTCTGATTCTTGCACTAATCGCCTGTTATATTAATTATTCATTCAAGAAACAATCAGCAATGAAAGCTTTGACTACAATGCTATCAGTTATGCTGTTCATCACAACATTTAAAGCAATAATAGCCTAGACTAAATCATAATATATATGCTGCACTGATTTCTATTGTATTTGAAATATATATTAAGAGAAATTATTTGCTATGCAACAAGATGGCATAAGCTCATATATGTCGTATAAGCACGGTTATTAAAGAAAGTCACAACTAAAAGAAATGTAATTTACTTTTACGATCCAGAAAAGGGTTTCTTTAAATATTTTAACTTCACTAACCTAATGGGTTTTCATAGAAGTGTGAAATGCCAATAATGTAATCAGAAGTATATCAATCAGAGTATCATAATCCTGGACTGGACCCATTCAATCTACCCACCACCATCAAGGAAAAACTTATTTTTCTGATCATCTGTTCATGCTATAAAATTTTTATAATTATGCATAATTTCCATTATTTTCTTAGATCATCATGCAACCACAAATGAATTATACCCGCACAAAAAATAAAATTAAATTAAATTAAATTAAAGTTGCCAATAGGCTTCCCTACATGTCAAATAAACAACTAAACATTCATATAGTTTCATCAGTAACATTCGCTGTTTTGCAAGTTAGAATTTTGAAAGTTAACCAGGAACAACGCAGAGAGCCTTCTGGGATAGCCCTATTGCATCAGCATGTTTCACCACCATCCTTGGCCCCTAGAAGAAGCACTTAACATAAATGGCAATGTGGATAATGAAATTTAAAGATTAGAAGTAAGTGAAAAAACCAAATATTCTGATTGGGCAAGGACCCTGAATCTTCATCAAGGAAGAAAACAAAACAAGTAAACGATATTTTATACAGCTATATGAAGAGATTATGTTAACTAGTAGAAGGATGAAGAGAAACACACCAATCCGGGATTTAAAGGGCTATGATTATCCATTTAAGATCTGGGTAATGACTGTTTGATTTACAACTCAAAGCACTATGAATATGAATTGCAATGTACTCAGATGACAGTAGAATTTGTTGATAAAATATAATCTAACAGCTAGCAAACTCAAAATAAAGAATATTCAACAGGACGATATGAGAAGAATACACCTACCCATTAGCATCAAGCACTGTCCTAGAGATCTTCATCTTTCTTGTTGATCCGTTGTACAGTTCCTCAAAGCTGCAAGGCAATTTACTCTCAATTGGTGGTGGTTTCTTGGGCACATTAGCACCACTTCCATCACTATATGATCTAAAGATATTATTATTCCCACCAAATCCCCCAAACATTCCTCCTCCATCTGACTGAAACCTCATGGACCTACCAGCTCCTGCTGATCCAAATCCAAAAGGGCTACTCCCAAAGAATTCCGCAAAAATGTCCTCTGCATTCCGAGGATTATACCCATCCGGGAACCCACTGCTGCCACCAGAACCAGGCGGTGGCATGTCTTTCAACCCTTCTTCACCATACTGATCATAAATTGCCCTTTTCTGTGGATCGCTCAAGACCTGAAAAAACATGTTCAATGAATTTACAATGTTAATTTCTTGAATTTACCCATGCTTTCATTCCTAAGATGTAATAATCAGTAGCAAGTTAATACATTTCTATCATTAGAAACAGAATTCAATTTTTGGCTAAAAAACTATGCTTTTGTGAAGCTTAAACCTCCCCTTATATAGCTAGCATTCAATACATCAAAAAATAAGCACTCAAATAAGCTTCAATACAAATACATAATTTTGATTTTGGTCTTGATCAGTTTGGCAATTTTGATATCCGCATTGAAAATGGGTGATGAAGCCAAGCACAAATTTTTTAAACCAATAACAGAATTCCTTAAAAAAAACAAATTAAATTAAATTAAATTAAATCAAACTTAATTTTCTTCAACCTCCATTTGTTCTTGTCACATAATTGTCACAAGAATAGAAAATTGTGTGGAGAAAACTAATCAAAACAAGACATAAGAATGAAATTAAAGCTACATTGGCGCGAGAAAGAAAATGTAAGCATTACTTCATAAGCTTCGGAGATTTGTTTGAATTTGGCCTCAGCTTCTTTCTTGTTGTTTGGATTCTTGTCTGGATGCCATTTCATGGCCAATCTCCTGTATGATTTCTTCAGGTCATCTTCTGTTGCATTCCTATTCACCTTCAATATATTATAATAATCCACCCCCATCACTCTATATATATCTTTATCTATACAAATCTACAATGTTTGTGTATATATATAATCTGATCAAAAGTGTAAATGCATATCTCTGCAGATAATCAATTTCTGTATTATCACTACACATCACCAAAAAAATCAAAACTTTGTGTATGAATTCGAATTTGAATTCGAATTCAGAATGTGATTTTCTCTCTGAAACAATGGAACGAAAAAAACGAAGAATGATTAGATTTGATTGTCTCTGCTGAAAATATTGAGAATGGTAATTCATGATTAATTAATTATTAATAATTATTTAGTTAATGATCTTTTTGTAATAAATCAGAACCTCTCATCTTTTTTATTAATATAATTATTAATCATTATTATTGAATTACAATTATATATAAGAAGCGTACCGCGATTATTGGAACCTTTGCGCCATTTTTATTACCCTGACGCTATTAGGCAATTATGTCACAAAACACTAGAACTAGTATGTATGATAAATGTACTTTTTATTTATTTTTTTATCTTTTATTTTTTGGTTATTTATATATCACATTTATAGACTCTGTTTGGATCTTTTCTCAAAAAAATTTTTTGTATTTAGATCATAATTTAAAATCCAAGTGTCGTGAAAAAAAGATGCCAAAATTGTATTAGAAATTCCATTAATAGTTGAAAAAAATAAATGTTTTTAAGCGCATTTTTACTTCCAAAATTGTGTGAAATATAGAAATATAATTAATCATTTGATACTATCACTACCAAGCAAGCCTTACACATGTTAGAGAAATTAAATTGTTATGCACTCATGCTAGAAATTGTATGGTCCTGGTTTTAAAATGACAATACTACATATTGTCACTAATTTTTATTTTATTTTTTTATCTGGAAAAATTATGGTATTGGTTTGTATGTAACCCTATTAATACAACTGAATTAAATAAATCACGTGTGCGAATAAATTAATATCAATAGTTTACAAAAAATTATTATTTAAATTGATAGTTTAGTTTAGTTTAGTAGGTAAATCACATGTACAAACTGATAATTTGAGGGGATAAAGCAAATTTTTTTCCTTTTTCGCGCAAGTGATATTTCATTAGTCTTGACACATTATTTTATTTCAAACCGACATTGGCAAAGTGCGTGTTCATTGCAAGTGTGAACAAAAAGGCATCATGTGAAAAAAATTCGAAAAAAAAACAAATACAGTTTTTGGAAACAATTCACCGCAAAAAAAAACACAGATGAAAGCTTGTTTAGCTGGAAGTTGGTTTAGCTCAATCACGAATACGAGGTCTGCTGGCTCGTTTCCTTTGTCTGGGAAAGTGATCTTCGTTCCTTTCTTCCACCCGGGCTTCACTTCAATGGTTAAGATCTCTGATTCTGGCACTAATCGCCTGTAATATTATTCATTCAAGAAACAATCAGCAATGAAAGTTTTGACTAGATGCGCCAGTGTGCAAATCAGTAACGTTGTTGATCACAACAATTAAGCCAAAATTGCTTGTGTATACATAAGATTATGAGAAACCAATAATAGCCTAGACTAAATCATAATATGCTGCACTGATTCCTATTGCATTTGAAATAAAAATTAATCAAAAGAGAAATTACTTACTATGCAACAAGATGGCATAAGCTCATATATGTCATATAAGCACGGCTATTAAAGGAAAGTCACAACTAGAAGAAATTAAATTTATTAGTGAATTTTTTTTTTTGACAATAGCATCTGAGTCAAAAGAAAAGGGTAGGCTTTAAAGATTTTAACTTCACTAATCGAATAGATTTTAACTTCAGAGTATCTAAAAGCCTGGATTGGACCCATCCAATTTACCACCATCAAGGAAAAACCTATTTTCCTATCATCAGTTCATGTAGCCGACCCCATTTGATGGGACTTAAGGCTTCGTTTCGTTTGGTTTGGTTTGGTTTGGTTATGCATACTTTCCATTATTTTCTTAGCATCATGCAACCACGAATGAATTATACCCAAAAAAACAAATTTAAAGTTGCCGATAGGCTACTGTACATGCCAAATAAACAACTAAACATTCATAAAGTTTCATCAGCAACTCGATAGTTTGCAAGTTAGAATTCTGAAAGTTAACCAGGAGCAACACAGAGAGCCTTGGAGGATAGCCCTGTAATAGTTAAAACTGCCAAATTGCATAAGCATGTTTCACCACTACCCATGGCCCCCCGAAGCAATCACTCTTAACGTAAATGGTGATGCTGATAATGAAATTTAAAGATTACAAGTGAAGAAACCAAATATTCTGATTGGGCAAGGACCGTGAATCTTCATCCAGGAGGAAAACAAAACAAGTAAATGATATTTTATGCAGCGAGATGAAGAGATTATGTTAAAGAGTAGAAGGATGAAGAGAAATACACCAATCCGGGGTTTAAAGGGCTATTATTTATCCATTTAAGAACTGTGTAATTGCTGTTTGATTTAAGACTCAAAGCACTATGAATATGAATTTCAATGTACTCAGATGACAGTAGAATTTGTTGATAAAATATAATCTAACAGCTAGCAAACTCAAAATAAAGGAAATTCAACGAAAATGATATGAGAAGAATACACCTACCCATTAGCGTCAAGCACTGTCCTAGAGATCTTTGTCTTTCTTGTTGATCCGTTGTACAGTGCCTCAAAGCTGCAAGGCAATTTACTCTCAATTGGTGGTGGTTTCTTTGGCACGTTAGCACCACTTCGATCACTATACAATCTAAAGATATTGTTATTCCCGCCAAATTCCCCAAACATTCCTCCATCTGATTGAAACCTCATGGACCTACCAGCTCCTGCTGATCCAAGTCCAAAAGGGCTACTCCCAAAGAATTCTGCAAAAATGTCCTCTGCATTCTGAGGATTATACCCATCGGGGAACCCACTGCTGCCACCAGAACCAGGCAGTGGCATGTCTTTCAACCCTTCTTCACCATACTGATCGTAAATTGCCCTTTTTTGCGGATCACTCAAGACCTGAAAAAACATGTTCAATGAATTTACAATCTTAAATCCTTGAATTTACCCATGCTTTCATTCCTAAGATGTAATCACTACCAAGTTATTACATTTCTATCATTAGAAACCGAATTCAATTTTTCGCTATTAGTCAAAAGAACTACGCTTTTTTGAAGCTTAAACCTTCCCTTACATGGGATTCAATACATCAAAATGAAGCACTCAAATAACATTCATATGTCATGGATAAAAGTGAGTGGTTCATATGTCATGGATAAAAGAATGCCATGAGTAGCTATAATGGGCATGCAATAGACATGGGCCGCTGTGAAGCATCAGTTTCTCCTTAAGATGTTTAACTTTATTCATCGATTACTACGAGCAGAATAGCTCAACACCTTAAAGAAATTGATATCTAGCCAAACAAGAGGAACTTACATGGACAAATTCCACAAAAACAAGTCTCCCTGAATTAGACAAGTGGACTTCTTAACCAATCCAATTGCAGGTGGAGCTCCTTGTTGACAATGTCAAATACAACCAATAAGATGCATCCTCTGCAAATTTTTAAACGTTAACTGTACATGTCAAGTCCAACAAATCTTCCAATAATGTAATGAAAAATACAAGTTAAAAAATTCAGAGTAGCATGTCAAATGTGACTGCGAAGACAATAGAATGTCAACACGAAAACAAATGCAAAAATCAGTAAGCCACAGAAAAACAGCCAATTCAAGGTACAACGTTGGTGTTTATACGATATAATTGTACCTAATTTTTAGCAAAATGTGTTGGATTAAGTTAAAATTCATCCATTGGCTCTCTAGTGACACCAGCATTGTAGTTTCACTCCATGAATAGTAACAGCAGGTCCTGTTACACAGAGCATGATGGCTATAGATTGAGTTCAATACTTGACAACTAAATTTAAGCAAATTCCAGGAAGTACATAAAACAAAAAACATAATAAATTTTTTATGACGTAAAATCTTGGAAGAGTTTATTAGCTAAATGGAAATTGGATTTTCATAACCATGCTGTGCAAAAATGGGACATGCACTTGAAATGGATGTCTAAGTTATGATATATATATATATATATCATGAGCAATATGAAAATGGATTGAGTAATCTGTTCCTGTATCCAAGAAAAAATATTTCGTTTGCTTGGTCTAGAGAAGTTTCACTAAAATCAGTCTACTACATGAACATCTAGTTCCGTGATAATGAGAGGAAATTCTAAAGAAGACAATAAAAAGAAGGTCCAGCATTCAGAAACAGTATTGTACATAAACCCAGAAACTATCTTTAAGGATCAAATAACATGACCACAACATACTAAATAATAAGTCTCTTCAATGTTCAAATAATCAAAAGCATACAGACCTTTCACAAAGTTTGGAATTTTGTCTGCAATGAACCTCAATCAAGACAAAGCTTGGATTTGAGTGAGAGGATCCAGGTTGCAATACCGGATAATTAAAGAAACCATCACAGTCTCCAATTCTCCAAGTGAATCAACTAGTTATCTCAGTCCATGATGTGTCTCTTCTCACCATTAGCAGACATGAAAAACTCCAGAAGCTTTGTAGCCCTAGGATATCCCTTCATCCAACCTTTCGTAATTGTTCGGCTTAGAATCTCAAAAGAAACTGCATTAGGTTCACACCCCTCCATCACCATCTCTTTCAATAACAAGATAATGTCCCAAAACTTCCCTCTTTTTAACAGTGCCTCAAGTAGTGTATTGTAAATGGCAATACTTGGAGTAATCCCATTCTCAATCATTTGGTTCCGCAGCTGGAAGGCTTCTGATATCTTGCCTCCCTTGCAAAGGCCATAAATGAAGGACCCGAAGGTAACAGCATCTGGTTTTAAACTTAGGCTAGACATCTCTCTTAACAACTGACCCATCAGCTGATCATTGCCTTCTCTTATGGAAGCACGTATGAGAATATTATAAGCTATCATATCAGGTAATAATCCAGTTCCTTTCAAGTATTTGAAAATCCGGAGTGCAATTCCAAGTAGCTGATTCTTGCAAAGGCTGCTCATAAGTGTATTAAAAGTCACTATAGTAGGACTGGGACCATTTGATGTCATAGCTTCCAGCAACTTCAAGCTCTCCGGAATCTTTCCAACCATGCAAAAATATTGAATCAAACAAGTTGAACTAACTACATTAAGCTTAATACCTTCATACTCCATCCGATAAAAGATCCTTCGAATCATTGGAGAATTTCCTTGTTTGCAGGCTGCAGACAAAATTGTATTGAATGAAACTATGTCAGGTCCATTCACACCCCACTCTATATGATCAAAAAGTTCCAGAGCTTCATCAATGTTGTCCTTGCAAAAGCCTTTCAAAATTGTGTTATATGATACATTATTTGGTCTAAAACCTATTTCCATCATACTCCTCAACAGAGATAATGATTCACTTGATCTATTCTCGTGACATAGAATATTAAAGTATATATTGTAAATTACAACATCTACAGTGCATCCCCTTGAAATAATGTCAAGCAAGAATTTAGTGGCAACCCCTATTTTCCCCCCTTTTAACAGGCCGCCAGCCAAAGCAGCATGAGTGAATGGATCAGGATATAATCCCTTTTGATCAATAACCCGAACAAGCTCACCAATTTCAGCAACCCTACTTTGGTGACAAAGTTTGTGGAGAATTATGTTGTATGTGACTAAATCCGGATCACATCCTTCCTTCTCCATCTTATCCAAAAGGCCTAATGCCTCTTCAATTTTCCCATCATCACAAAGAAACTTAACAACTGCAGTGTATGTTATCACATTAGGCTTACAGCTGCAAGTTTGCATTTCAGCTAAACAACGAAAAGCCTCTTCCCATAATCTTTCCCTACTAAACCCATAAACCAGAGCAGTATATGAACACACATTGTGTGCAAGGCCCTTCTTCTTTAAAGAATAAAACAATGCCAAGGCAGTATAGCTCTGACCAGACTTGCACAGAGCCCATAATATTGGATTATAACTATAAGCACCTCGAAAAGAGTCCCGTTCAAGAAGAACAGAGAACACAAAAAATGCCTCGGTAATCATCCCAGCTTTGCTAAGACAAACAATCAACAAATTCAAATTGGGTTCAGCTGGACAATAGTCCAGTCTCAACATTAACTTGAATACACGAAGTGCATCAATTAGATATCCAGATTTTAATGACTTCTTCAACAATTTCGACAAAAAACTAAATGAAGGTATAAATCCACTTGTGCACATTTCCTCTGCAATAATAAACACATCTTTAATGTTACCGTGCGAAAGCATCCCATTCAAAAGGGTATTGAAGGTTGATGCATTTGGGTAAGGCCCAAACCTTTTCATCGCAACGTAAACACCAACCAATTCTTCCAACAACACATGTTTTGATTTTGAATAACAATGTATTAAAGCATTATAATCATACACAGTCGGTTTCCCAGGGACATTCCTCATGAAATTCAAAGTCTCGATAGCTTCCTTAATGCAACCCGATGTGGCATAACCCTGCATCCTCTTCTGTAATTCACCATAACAGGACTCATAGCTTTCACCTTCTTCATGAAAATCTAAGGTTCGAACAGCACAGTATGAAAAAAGATTCACAAATTGATGCAAAACCCCATACCTGTTGCAAATCCCATGTGAAGGCTTTCCTACAGCAACTGTACAGAAATTCATTTCCAGGAAAAGCAAGAACAGAGTATCGACCCAATATAGCTATCCCACACATATTGATTGATTGCAACAACAGAAATGCATGACATAACCCACTGTTTGGTTTCGGAGAAAACTGAGGAAAAGAAAATGAAAAATATCAAATTTGTAGATAATGCTTTTGAAGTTCTCCAGAGATTAAATTCAAACGCTGAATTCATCCCAAGTGAGCTCAAAAGTATGCTTCTTGGTACCAATAAGAACGAAACAGAGTTAACGATGTTTAAAGTTGCTTTCTTTTTTCTTTTCGTACCTTTTCTGGGCAACCAAACAGAGCTGAGAGAATGAGGATGTTGAGTTTTTGTGTGGGTATGTTTCGGATTTTCGATTTGATTCCTTTTGTGGAATTTTTTTTTCCCCTCCACTCTGGACCTTCGGAGCAGCAAAACCCTAGAGATATGAACGAAGCAGGGAGACGAGTCATGGAACGACGCCGTTTTCGGCCAATACCTGCAGCACTTTTTTATTGGCCATAATATTTATGGATATTCTTTTCTTTAATACTCCAGTTAGATTGTCTTAAAATAAATAAATCATCAAAAAGTGCAACACCTATAAGGTCATCTCCGATGGTGAACCAAACCCAGCATTAAATTCAAATTTTGATGAAAAACCTATTTTTTCAAGCTCCGACCGTTGCATCAGATTAATATCAAAATGAGATTTCAGCAAAAAAAGCATCAAACTGAGAACGAGATACAGATTTTACCAAATCACTGTTACTGACCGTTGAAAAGAGGTACACCGGTCAACCAGCCGGTTGCCCCGCCGGTTGACCAACCAGTAAAAGATTCAAACAGTTCAGGAAAAAAAATTCAAACCGTTAAAAAAAATAAATAAATAAATAATTTGCCTAACCGGTCGACCACCCCGGTCGTTTCGGAAAAGTTCAGAAAGTTCAAAAAAAAGTTCAGATAATTCGCCAAAAATAAAAAATAAAAAATTTTTTTTGCCTAACCGGTCGACCACCCGGTTGTCTCGGGATAGATTTGGTGAAAGGTGAACCGTTGGAGCGAGTGGTATCAAATTTAGTAAAATGGGTCATTTTTTACTCAAATTTGATGAAAATTTTGAGTCACCATTGGAGATGCTCTAAAATTGCCCAACATAATCTTTTGACTTTTTAACTAAAAAGTTCGGTTGCCAAACGAGGCCTTAGAATTTAAATTTGTTTATAATTTAAAACCACATCAATTTTTTTATATCTTTTTTAGGTTATATTTTTATAGCATGATATAGTTGAGATTGATCTCCTGCATTGCTTGCGTTATAATATACATTTTAATATATTTATAGGGTTAAAAAATAAATTAAATCGAATACATCAATAAGTAATCTTATACTTTTAACATAATTATATTACTGTTTATAAGATTTTAATTTACAGAACATTTAAATTTTAAAAATTGCCCCGAGTGATAGATGTGCTCCATACAATTGTTCAGGGTTTAGTTTAATTGTTGAGGCCATGCTACGAAAAAGTAATTACTTATGAATTCCTTAGTCCAGCGTAAATAAATAGTACACCTTTGATCCAGCCACCCCTAATTGCTGAACTCAAAAAAATAAAAAATACATAATAATTGAGTTATTTTCATCAATACTTCATAAATTGTATAAATGAAAAAAAAAATATTATCATACATTTCTTACTAAAATATATATATCTATTTATTTTAGTATTTACTTATAATTGGTATTAATTTTGGTCGCTTTAAGTATACTAAAAACAAAATTAATATAATTATATTAAAATTGTAAAATTGATTGTAGGGGATGCAACTTGGGTTTGGAGGTTATCCAAACCGAACTCAAGTTGTACTGAGACCTGCCCAGGCCCGTCCAAGCCCGAATTATAACCGGAGGTTGCCTGCTCAAGCCCGACCCAAGTTAAATCCGAATTGCTCGAGTTGCCCGAATTGTAAACGAATTTCAATTTTTTTTCCAACTATATTATTAAATTATTAAAATTTGACTATATTTATATATTTTTTTATATAGAAAATCATTAATACCATCAAAATAAATAATTTATATAATGTAAGAAAGATGTCACTATAGTAGTTTGGTAGCCTTCACAATTTACGAGTGAAAATAAAAAAAATAAGATTTTGTATTATTTGTATATATAATATATATTCAATATGATTTAATAATCTAAATTACTTTAATATCATGTAATGGCTAATAATGTATATGAATATTTAATATTTTTATATATCTATATATATATATAATTTGAGCTTTGGGCAACTCGGATTGTTTGATGTCTTTGGTCAAACCCGTCCAAATTTAATTCAGGCTTTTAAATTTTTGCCCAAATCCATACTGAATTTGAAAATATCTTGTCCAAACCCTAAAAAAAACCAGGCAGGGTTCAGGTTGATTAGATTGAGCCCGCCCAAGTTGCACCCCTAATTGATTGTAGTTTCATTTGAGAAGAGCTAACTTAGCTTGGTTTTTTGACTAAATTAGCTCCGTTTAGGAAAAAAAATTAATTTTTTTTGTTTGGATGCAATAGTTGTAAGAGAAAAAATGAAATAATTATCATTTGAATGTAACATTTTATCTTATTAACTTATTTTATCGATTATATCCTTTTATACTTTTTTTTAATCCCAACTAAATTGTCAAACGGCAACTGTATTTTTCAATAAACTTTAAAACAGGTTCACCCTTTTTCATTTATGCAAAATAGTCCCATGTTTTTTGTTTTTTTTTTTTTTTCATTTGCATTCAAGATTAAATACAAGAATAAAGCTTTGGACCCCAGTGGGGGTACTGGGGGTCACCTCCCATTGGTCCAAAAAAAAAAACAGTTTATTTTTTTTTTTTTTTGAGTTTTCAGCCAACCCCAGGCCGACACGTGGCACTGGGGTCACTGGGGGTCATCCCCAGTGGGGGTCTGTAGCATTGCTGTAAATACAATTCTACAGCATATATGGGGATTTTTTTTAATAAATATCCTATAAAAAAAATAATTTAGAAAATTAATTCACTTTTTAAACTATTGGAGAATTAACTTGATTTTTAAAATTACATTTTAAAAATATAATTTTAAATAGAAATTATATTTTCAATCTGCGATGTCAAATTTTAATTTTAAAATTATATTTTTAAAATACGATTTTAAAAAATAAATTAATTTGTTAAATAGTTTAAAAAGTAAATCCGTTTGAAAAGTGAATCTATTTTTTAAATTATTCTTTTTTTTTAGAATATTTCAAAAAAAAAAAACTCCATTTATGGGTAATGAAAGCTGAGTGGATGAGCTGACCAGAAAAGAAGAGAAAGGAGGGGAAATAGAGCGAGAGACCTCTCTAATCCCTCTCTTCATGGCAACATCTCTTCTTTTTCCCTCTCATTCTCTCTCTACCTCCAACCATCCTCTTCTTCCAATTGCTTCCCTCTTCAGGTACTCTCTCTCTCTCTACATGTGTGTATGTATTTATGTATATGCATTTGGTCTTTTACTGATTTTTGGGGTTGGGTTTTTAGAAATCGGAGAAGGGTTGATTCAGTTAAGAAGAAATTCAGATTACTTGAGAAAACTCCAGTATGCTTGTGCGCTCCTTCAAATGCCACCTTGCAAAATGGTATTTTTTTCAGGAGGGACTTGATGCTTTTTGGTTTCTCTTCTTCACTTGCTTTGATCTTTCCACAGTCAGGTAAACCCAATTTCACAATTCATTGGCTGTTTGTTCTTTGGTTATTGTAAGTATTTGAATTTGAATTTTGGGTATATTATATTTCTTAGCGCCTGACAAATTTCAGATGGGGTTTTCTGGATTCTTTTAACGATTGCTAAATTCATACCGTTAGTAATATATCTTGATGATAATGATAGAGTATTGAATACTTTATTAATTTATAATTTGGCGATAATGACAAATTTGCAGTTTTATAAGAAGAATTGGAGATGATTTTGGTTAATTTTTATTAGTAGTTTCTCTTACACTATCTTTGGATTGAAGGTTTTTGAGAAACAAAGGATAGGCGGGGAAAAGGGTCGATATTTATTATTCACTATGTTTGGATTGTTTTTAAGGAGGGAAGAGAAACTGAATAGAGAGGAGGGAAATGGAGGTTTTGATTAAGATAATTTTTTACTACAAAGTATACCCCTTAGTTTGTGAGTTGCTAAGAGTAAAACTTATTTCTGTTATTCATTCAGTTCATGCACATCCCTTTCCTTTATAATTATTGTCTAACCAAACAAGAAGGAAAGGTCACCCTCCATAGGACACCCCAATGACTTAGGTCCCATTCCCTCAGTAAAAATACTCAAGTTCAAGCCTCCTTAGCTTATCTATTAAAAAAATATTACTATAAAACGGTTAGTTATTACCCAATTAAACAAGAGGAGGGATATCTCCCACTAATTCCATTTCTTCTCCTATGTGTTAGATTTTGTGTAAACCTTACATGATATTCATTGACATCAACAATATATATTTATGACACTGACAAGCTTGCATTATTTATTTATTTTCGAGATGGGTTGAGGTCAGTTTGGAAACATGATTGCTCAATTTCTGTTTTGGTTTGTTTTCCTCATCAACATTGCATTAATCACTGTTGCAGGGTTCAGTGCCACTGAAGAAGTGAAAATGACTTCAATGGTTGATGACATAAATGCTTATTCTTACTTGTACCCTGCAGAATTGCCATCTAGAAAGTTTGTCTTCAAATGGTAGGCATTTTATGCAACTAACCCAGTTGCTGGGGATCCGGAGTTGTACATCTCAGTGATAGATCTCGGGCCTATCCAGTTGTGATCCATATCGAAAATGGTTTTGAAAAGTTTTAATAAAAGTTGATTTTTGCTCAAATTAATCTTTTTACAACTTAGACCATTTTTGGACCAAACGGAAAATTTTCAGTACCCACAACCTTCAATTACATTTATTTCAATACAGAGTTCTCCTACTCTTGAATACAAATTGAAGTTGCTTTTTTATTACAATCATAAAGAAAACTTGAAAGTACTGATTAAAGCAATAAATTCGGGGCATAGTCAAGTCAGGTGTTCCTGCACCCCCTCCCTGAGCTCGTGGAAGCCTCTGATGCCAAAGTAGGTCCAACCTGCGCCTCTTTATCAAGCCAAGCTATACACGCATCAGAGAGGGTGCAACTGAAAGTGGGTGCGGGGGCTAGAAGCTCTCTCGTCCTCCATGTTGTGGCATACCGGGCTAGCTGTGCGCCTCGGACTGGAAACGCAGCAGGGTACTCTATTCCCTCTTCCGGGCAAGTCTGATCATGTCCGAACTGGCGCCAGAATCGGAATGGGAAGTAAAAGACACAGTGTGTTAGGCCAATCAACTGAATCCCGGGCTGGCGGGTCATGCTGTAGCTCATTGCTGGTAAATTAAGCCAGGGGTAGCGCCAAACAATGTTTGTAGTAAACAAACTGCATATCCAGTCGCACCACCATCCCTCATCTGGGGCATCGACTAGACGTCGTCGGAAGAAATAGCCGTGAGCTGAATATGCTGGGCACGAGTCCACAACCTTCAACTTATCCATCAACCATATCTGGGAAGGGATGAAAAATGAGAGATTAAAGAACAGAGCGGTGTACGTTGAGAGAAAAAGTGAAAAAAGGGTTTTGAGAGAAAAACTGAGCCTGAGGGTCGAGTGATGCGAGAAATATATGTGAGATGGGGTGGGAAACATTACCTGCAGTAGTAGTGGACTCCCTGTGAATCTAATCGTCTCCCGGCGATGAAAAGCGTCCAAACCCATCAATATCTCAGCTAGTGTCATGGCGGTGCCGCTCTTGCCCTCTTTTAAGCCCTCGGCGACTTCAATCAAACGAGTGCTAAACCCACCGGGACCTAGGGCAAGGAAGAAATGAGACAACATGCACAGACAAAGCATATGTCGCCAATAACCCTGCCAATGATGGTCGCTGCGGTCACCGGCATCAGAAAAATGACGAATCAAGCTCGGAATGTCTAGCTCTCTGTCGTGAATCAATGACCGAGCGTCATGCAAAGTAAGCCCACACATCCATCCTAAGGCTTAGACGTAGCCAAAGCAAAATTGAGGCAAGATTTCTTCATCACGCTCGGATTCCATTAAAGCTTGGAAGTCCTCGAAAGTAGGACACATCTCTTGTCCGCCAAAGCTAAAGACATGTGTTACCGGATTCCAAAACCTTGCCGCGCCATGAAGGAACGAAAAACGCAGTGGGGTGCGACTCAACGTGAATAGTGCATTAATTCCGAAACCCCAAAAATTTAGCTTTTCCGAGCTATCCAAGTTGGCAATCCAATTTGTGAGATTTTGGATAAGAAATGCTTCCATTTGGTACAAAAAACTAAGCTGAAATGGAGAAAACTACGAAGCTAAGGCTTTTGTAGAAAATAAGGTGTTGTATGGAAGACAGGTGGCAACATTCTGGAGGTTCTTGCCATTTTTGGCCGTCGGCTAAAAAGAGTGCCGACCGACCATCTCTTTGGCCGATTGGCTAGTAATGATGGCCGATGGTCATTTCTTGTGGCCGATGGCCTCTCACTTTGGCCGATGACCTTTCCTCTTGTTCTTTGAGCTGTCTATGTGTTGGAGATGTTGAGAACTTGTGCCTGGTTCCACTTCAAGTGCCTTTCGGTGATGATTTTGTGAAGTCGCGCCTGTGTTACTGCAATTTCTTTATCGAGTTGTTGTACTTTTGTTTATCGAGTTGTATTTTGTGTTCTTTAGTCCTTGTCTTGCTTATCGAGTTGTATTTACATTTGGTTGGCATGTCAAGTTTCTTTGTTTTGCTTATCGAGTTGTTTTGTTGTTAGTTGGTTCACTACCTGATTAATGCAATTCGAGTGTTTAGTTTTCAAAACAGAGTTCAGTCTCATTTACATTGTTATGTAATGTGATTCGATGCGATACAATCCTTAGAATGTACAAATGTAACACTTTTCAACAAAAAGAGCTGTTTGATTCCATCATATTTCCTTTTGCAAAAGTACATGGTTTTAAAGAAAATAAAATCTGCTTGACGCAGTACAATGTGCAAAACTACTAGTAAAAAGAAAAGTAAAGAAAAAAAGAAGAGCAGCATCTGGATCGGCGCCAGTCGCCTCAAGCACGGGAGTTCGTCCTCGTCCTCTTCCTGGACGAAGGTCCAGGATCGCCGCCATCACCTTCGCTGTCTGAGCCATCTCCAACCTCATCCTGAGACGACTCTGCGTCCTCGTCAGACTCATCATCATTTGGGGTAGGCCCTCGTGAACTGCTCTCGATACAAGTACGCCTATGTCTGCCTCGATTGTGTATCGTCATCCCACGTCCCGCTCCCCCTGCTGCTCTGGGAGGTACTGATGGTCCTGCTGAGGCACCCCCTACGGCCGGTATCCGGAATGGTACCTGAAAAGAACAATTTGGAAAATGCATCAGTCATGCTATGCGAAGCTGAGTATGGCATCAAATACAGTGTATGATTGTAGTGTATGAATGCTGTGAGCAGTATATGAGATACAGTGTGTCAGTGCCATGAGTGGTGTGTGAGTGCAGTGTATCAAGTGCCGTGTTGATGATGTGATGTATAAGAATCATGTATGGAATAGATTATGCAAAGTTTTGGGTCTGAGGTTGAAGGAATTTACCGGGATACCGTAAATGCTCAACAAGTCTATGCTCCTCTGTAGCATCCCCATCATCGAGGCCGTCAGCTCTAGAGACTGTCCAGTATACTTTATCGAAGCCTGCAAAAGTGTTGAAGTGATTAGTATTCTGCGAGATATCAACTGAAATGAAATGATTGTACAAAATGAAAAGTATAGCGTGTACCAGGGTCGAGCCGCAAACTTGGACAAGCTCATGATCAGCCGAAGGAGGAGTGATGGGTATCTGATAAGTCTCCCCACCCTGTCCTCGGGATGTCATGGTGGTGGGTAGCTCTGGCCACTCAGCTCTTCGTTCCCTTCGGGACCCACTCCTGTCGTGGGCCTGAGTCGCCCTCGATACTCCTGCTCCTCCTACTGGCGCTACAGGCCTCTCCCTTTCAACTCGGCGAGCACCAGTCAGAGGCCGCATGAGATAAGCCTGGATGAACTCGGTGTAGTCACCCTCATCTCTGAAAAAGTCAGCATCCCAGGCTATCATGAAATCCATCATCTCCTGCAGGGTGTACCTCTCGGTGGCCCTCGTATGGATGGGAGGCGGCCTCGGGATTATCTGCTCAGGCAAACCAAGGGTCTGATGTGGGAAGCACTCTCCAAAATACCTTGCCCAGCAGACCGGACCATCCAGCAAAATCCAAAACCGAGCAGTCTCCTGAGCATGCATATTCTAATCTCTCACTGCCTCTGGTAACGCGGCCCAGGGCTGCCAGGTGATCTGCAAATGACAGGATATACAGTTTGTTATCTGTTATTGAAAGTACAATGTAAAGCGAAGCTTAAATAAACTGTAATGTTTGAAATACCTCTGCTGTGGTAATGGTATCGAAGTATCTGCGGAAGAACAGGAAAGACTCCCGCGGCCTCTGTTCGTACCTCACATCGTATCGATGAGCGTATGGGACAGCGAGGGGCATCTCCACCTCCGGTTCTGGAGCAAGCCTCCCACAACTACAGAGTGTAACAAGGTAAGAATGAGTATGCTTATCAGTAAGGCAGTATGCAGATAAAGCAGAAACTAGAGAATGGTGTGCAGTGTATTGTGCAGTGTGTGTAGTGTACAGCCAGTGTAAAGCAGATTACGTGTGTGCAGTGTACAACCAGTGTAAAGTAGATTGCTTGTGTGCAGTGTGTGCAATGTACAGCCAGTGTAAAGAAGATTGTGTATAGGTAATGTGTGTGGTGTACAGATAGTGTAAAGCAGAACTGTAAAATAGAAAGAGAGGGTGTACCTCCCAGGCTCGCCAGTAGCCTCCAAGCAGATGCCTGCTGTGGCGAGAAGAAGAGCTCATGTATCCATAAAGTGTGGCCAAGCTTGCGCTGGATCTGTGTCACGTCTACCAACGCGCTCAGTATATAGAGGGCAATAGTGTTCGCCCGGTCGGTGAATAAGGTGGTGCCCAACAAGAACATAATGAATCGTCGGGCGTAACACTCCACCTTCTCGCGGGGCGTCGGCATCTGTATTCGAAATTGGTCCTCGAACCAAGAATACCTCATAAACCCTGGTCAGGAGAGAGGTGGCTGAGCACCAAGCAAGAAGATCTACCAGCGTCCCACTTGCCCATGTCATTGTCGAAGGGAATCGGATAACCCCCTACTCCAATGCCAGTGAGCATGGAGAAGTCGAAGGGAGTCATCGTCATCTCTCCCGCTGCGAAAAGGTGGAAGGAATCGGTGGTGTCCCACCACCTCTCCACCAGCGCACCGAGAATGGGCCTACTCGCAGTGAGACGGGAGAGTCCCATGCAGAAAATGCCGAAGCCAGCCTCGTCAACAATTTGGTGAACCTCGTCGGGCAGCTCCATGTACCAACCTCAGGCAATGGTGTTCCCATACCCCTGTAGACGTCCCCGAACGCCCCGGGAGGGTGAGCTCCCGTTCTGTTCATTTGTGGGGTCACTACAGCTCAGACTCGATTTGTGTCACAGTTCTTAACCTGAACCAAAGAGTCCAAATCCGGTAAATCGTTCTGAGAAATAGACTTTTGAAAAGAAGTACCAAACATGGACTGCTTTTCCAGATACAGAGTCGCCACCTAAATATTTTTTATGGTGGAATTTAGCAAACCCTGACTCGGTGCCAAAGGCCATATG